GATATTAATAAAACCAATTACTCTTTAAATAAGGTGATGTCATTGATTACATCTTTCACAACATAAAATTATATAAAATACGAGGGCTATCCAGAAAGTAGATTACGTTTTGGAATAAAAAAATAAACAAAGTATAGGAAACAAATTTTATTATATACAGATGAAAGCCACACTCAAATACTACTTTTCTACATAGTCACCATACAAATTAAGGCATTTATCGTAGCGATGTACGAGCTTGGAAATTCCTTCGTCGAAAAATTCGGCCGCCTGCGCCTTCAACCACTTCGTTACCTCTTCTTGCCTTCCATCTTGCACAAAAACTTGTGGTAACCAAGCTTTTCGCTGATGATTTCGTGCAACAAACTTCGCGAAATTTGTGGAAAACTCAAAGAAAGTTCCGTTATTGTGAAATTTCGATTTTCACGGACTTTAGCATCGACTTTTTCGAGAAGTTCGGCGGTCACTATGCTGGGTCTCCCACTTCGATCTTCGTCGTGAACATTGGTTCGGCCATTTTGAAATCTTATGACCCACTGACGCACTCCACCTTCAGTGATAATGTTGTCCCCATACACTTCACGAAGCTGCCGATAGATTTCTATCGGTTTACAGTTTTTTGCAGTCAGAAACCTTATTACTGAGCGCACCTCGCAGCTCGCGGGATTTTCAATTAACGCAGACATCTCAAACCGTCACAGTATCTGAACGGAGCACAGCACGAACCTCTCACTAGCACGGCTAGATGCAGACTGAGCTGCGCAACGCTCTGACCCCAAGATGGCCACGCTAGCCCCGCCCCTAGCGGACACAGACGGAAACGTAATCTACTTCCTGGATGGCCCTCGTATTATAAACAAAGTTTTTATTTCAAATAAAAATGCAAAATTAAATTCATTTTTAATATTTAGAAGCCATAAATAATATTTAAAACATGGAATTTATGCATAATAAAACGCATTATTTTAAAAATAAAATGACAACAAAGTATCGGTTACCAAAAATAACTTATCCAGCAATGGGTTTACCATAAGTCGTATTACTCGCCAAAATCCGTGCAACCGTCTACCAAAACAGCACCAAAAATTACAATGAAATAAGCTATATTTCTTAATACAGTCAAAAGTCATTAATTCGGACACCCATAATCCGGACCTCAAAGCTACAAATTTTGTGCGCATGCGTCACATTGACGCATGCGCGTAAGACCTTTACGGCTGCGAATTTGCATGTGCGCATGCGCAAAATACGTTTACGAATGCGCGTTTAATGTATAACGGACGGTATAAGCTAAGCTCTAATTATCTATTTCAGTTAATGTTGCAGATTGCATTGTTCCTTAATCTTTGAATTGGATCCGGCTTATTTTTTTTTTTTTTTGCAGACTGTTAAAGCAATTTTATAAGTAAAGTAATTAATAAGTACTTTATATTTAAAGTAAGCTTGAACTTTCGATTATGTCAAATAGAATTTCCGATTTATATTTACTAATATGTAACGGATCTACAAAGCGAAAGTATGTTTTGGAGTGCATTAAACAAAAGTGGAATTGCCGCAAAAAATGGATAAAGACATATCCTTTGTTTATCTTTAACGCCACGCGCAATGAATTCGAAGTTGATCTGTCAGCACTATCCTTATCTTCAGGGCAAATGTTTTTATTTTATTTGGCTTATAATTGCTTACTAAATGTAGTATTTCATTTAGATATACTCCGTCTTTGATATGATTTAAATCAAATGCCTCATCATTATAATTCGTTTCCGATAGCGAAGAAAGTGACGGAGGTTATTGAAAACAAAAAAATTTCGATTGACAAATTAGTTGGTATTTATTCTCGACACAGCAATTATAGGACTTGAACGGCGGAATTTTGCAACTGAACAAGAAATTATGTATGTTTATAGAATTAAAGAGAATGTATTATCACATAAAAAATGAAGCAACTTAAACAACTTAAATTGAAAGAAATGTTTAATAAAGTAAACAAATAAATATTAAGCTTTTATTTTGTAAATTTTGATACACTTTAGATCATAATTGTTCTTTATTTCATAAATTACGGTTTCATATTTTTAATTTTATAATTTCTTCATGCCATTTTACCAGATTTAAACTGATGATCTATAATCCGGAATCGCGGAAGTTCTGACGAGTCCAGATTAACGACTTTTGACTGTACAAATATTAATTATCCTAATAAAAAAAATTAACCAACTTTCCATTGAAGAAAAAAAATCATGCAAAACTTTTCAATATCTTACAAACAGTGAAATAAGCAAAAAATAACATGTAAGCAGCTCAAAAAACAAAACATTCCGTGCACAATTTTACTCTGCAGAACAACTTTATAAAACACATCAATAAAAATGCATTATGGTTTCAAAAGAATAAATTGAATTTAAATACAAAGTTAATTAATTCTTTGCGCCATTGCTGCAAGGAATGAAATTTAAATTTTAACAAACATGTATATACGTAAAAAGCAAATTTAAAATTAAAATGATTAAAAAATGTGCAAACATATAAAAGATTAGAATTAATTAAAAAGAAAACAAAACTATTAGAATTTGAAAGTTGTATTTAAAATTTATAATAAAAAAAGAGAAACAAACCAGATAATTAGCGCTAAAGCTGCTAAGTACAAACAAAATTGTTTCAAAAGAATAAATTGAATTTAAATACAAATTTAATTAATTCTTTGCACCATTGCTGCAAGGAATGAAATTTAAATTTTAACAAACATGTATATACGTAAAAAGCAAATTTAAAGTTAAAATAATTAAAAAATGTGCAAACATATGAAAGATTAGAATTAATTAAAAAGAAAACAAAACTATTAGAATTTGAATTCAATTTATTCTTTTGAAACAATTTTGTTTGTACTTCGCGGCTTTAACGCTAATTACCTGGTTTGTTTCTTTTTTTTTATTATAAATTTTAAATACAACTTTCAAATTCTAAATTTAAAAAAATTTTCTAATTCTAAATTTAAAAAATAAAAATACATTATGTATATAAAAAAATGACAATGAAATATGCCAATCTCTTAAAAACAGTGACATAAGAAATAGGATGAAAAATTGTTGCCAAACCCATATTTCTAAAAGAATAAAACTATTCAAAATGATGCGATTTCATCAAAAATCTAGCAACAACAATAAGAAAGGAAAATTGTTGCCAAAATCATATTTTTAAAGATGCGAGATGTGAGAAGTGTACTCGGAAGCTTCATTTAAAAAATTTTTTAAAAATACAAAATGTTATCATTTTTCCAAAATTCTTTTTGTAAAAGCAGTCAGAAGAATGAAAGTTTAACGTGTCCAAAAATCAAAGAAAAATAAACTGTACATTTTTAAACATAAACTTTTTTAGAAAAAATCCCGTTGAAACTTTGTTAAATAAATTCGTATTTAATCGATTTATTGAAACACAAAATTTATTTTAAGTTCGAAAAATAGCTAAGTGCCTACGTCTCATGACGATGTGAAAATGGAGTGCGTAGAGTAAAATCTTGCTTTCCTAGAGCCCATTATATCTCAGAATGACGCGATTTCATCACAAAACGTAAAATTTAAAAAAGTCTAATTTCAATTTCGAAAAAATCGCTTCGAGGTGCACTGGCTCTTGTCTAGATGCACCTATGCACCAAATTTCGTAGCCGTGGGTCTATTAGCTTATGCGCAGCGCGAACGAAAGACACACACAGACAGACTCTTTGTTTTTTTATATGTAGAGATTGCCATCTATATTTCTCATATATAAAAATCGGCTGTTTAAATTCATTTTTTTCCTGTGTTTTGAAATAGTTAGTACATTTTTCTTATGAAATTGAAAGATGATGTCAACTAAAAATATTATAACATTATTTCTAGTGATATTTTCACACAACTGTTGAGAAATATTTCCGAATATTTTGTGATTAATAAACAAATTTTTGATTAGTAAACTCAACTATTCCAAAGCAAGCAGTGGGAACACAGTATGGGGGGGGGGGAATTTTTAGCTCAACTGAGCAAAACTGTTTACTGGAAATTCCAAAGATATGCTGTTTTTAAGTAGTTTGTGATTTTGCTGTTGAATCGAATTTGATGTGGCGCAAGTGCCATGAACACTATATTTAACATATAAAGGTAACACACAAAACACTAATAATAAAATTTAAAAAAAAATAATAATAAAAGGTTTTGCAAAGTCCTTTTAGTAGGAAAACTGAACACCAAAATGATGCATTGAGAAAAGACTGAAAAAAAAAAACCCAGAAAAATGTGTATCAATACTTGATGCTGCATCGAAAATTTGTAACGCATACTGCTATGCTGCTTTTAAAAATTTTGTAATTTGCTGCTGAATTGTATATGATGTAAGTACAAAGAAAATGATGCCTAACAAATAAAGCTAAAAAGACAAAAAAGGGGGGAGCACGTGTAACAACAGATTAGTTGCTCAGCGAGAGCATTAACAAACCTTTTTGGACGACCATTAACAGTTGAAACTTTTCAGACTGTGTTTTTAATTTAATTTATTTTATTTATTTATTTTAATTCTTACTGTACTCAAAAAAAAATTAAACTATTCCCATAATTTTCTCCTCACGATTTTTAGACAATAAAATTAGTAAAGAAATGGAAAGGGGAATACAAAAAAGGAAATATGGCATATGTTCATAGTTTAATAAATTACATTTTAATAGCAAATTTAGACAATACTAGAACTATGCATGCTTTTTACACCAGCATGTATTTCATTTCCCACAGGAACAAAATGAATTTATCACACCACATTAAGCTGTTTGTCATTGGTTGGGCAATTTCCAACATATCTGTACTATCCAACAGTAATTTTAAGTACCATGTTAGAAATTAAAATCAAAACAAAAAAACTAAAAGCTGAATTTCATACATAAATAACATTTTCCTTTGTAGGGATAAAATTAGTATTTTAAATCCCATGCCCATTATCTTACAAAAATATCTAACCGAAATAAAATTCACACTTACATGAGATTCAGATCAATTTTAAATGCTTTTAAGTCTTCACATATTCTATCCATACTGCTAGGAGAGAACATATCATCAAAACGTGAGAGGAACAATATTCTTCGTGTAAAGAACTTCTTTCCATTGACATTATTTTGAAGCAAATCCACTGCAACTGATAAAGCATTCTCTCTGATAACTTAACAGAAGTTAAAGAAAATTATACAGAAATGTACATTAAATTATATTAAATATAATTACTATTAAATTATATAACTTCAAAACGCATTAAACAGCATCTGGCATTTGTTTATTAGAAATAATAACTTAAAACTGAAGGGAGTGAAGAACAGATTATTTGATTAATTATTTAAGAAATAAAATACTGATTCATCACGGGAAAGAAATTTTAATATAAAATAATAACTAAGATCACATAAAAAGGATACTTTCAGACGGAAAGTCTGTGCCTGTTATATCATTAACATACCCCAATAAGTCCCAATTTGCAGGCTTCAAATCTTGAATAACATTAATATTTAGATAGTCAGAACTACCCTGTTCTGTGAATGAGTTCGAAGTCTCCAATGTTCCAAATAATATAAGAGCTATTTCATCTTTAGATTCTGAAAATATCTATAATACATTACAGAATATTAGACTTAAGAAAAAAAAATTAAGTCATGCACTTTAACAGATTTTTACATACAGTCAAACCTCGCTTAAACGAGCACCTCCTGTAATGAGATTTGAATAACAAGCAAAAAAAACTTTAAAATACAACTTAGTTGGTTTCTGCATCTGATAAGGTGATTAATAGCCTCGACTTCTTAAAATCAGGGGTTTACAAATCATTTCTGGATGAGTCCAGACCACGCCTGGGCTGGCAATGCAGCTATTGACAAAAAAACTAACTTCTAATTAATGTGATTAACAAAAGATGCAATTATTATTTATAACACATTAATTAGGTTGCTTAATAACTTTTTTTTTTGGAAGGACCACAATCACAATCGAGAACGTAACCTGAAAGCTCAAAGAAGTTTTATCCAAATTTGTACATGATATTGACTGTTTCCATTTAATTACCCTTGCTTGTTAATCCCTTGGAATACATGGATCTTGATACAAGACTGGACCTAAATCAGAAAATAAAAAAGTCAGACTACTGTCCTGAAATACCCTGCTCTGGAAACTATCCATGACTGCTATCCTACTCACGAATGGCTTTGCATCTGCACAGATGGTTCCCTTCTGGACTTTAATCAAGGAGTTGGAGTTAGGTATTTTTTTTTTTTTTTTTTTTTTTTTTTTTTTTTTTTTTTTTTTTTTTGCCAGTTGGAAATTTCATGAGCTATTTGGATGGTGAGCTGGAATCAATCTATGTAACTCTTCAGCAACTTTCCATTTACCAGAATTGCTTTGAGAATACTCACCGATTCAACATATCCTCTTAAGGCTTTATTATCTAATCAGGAGAATAAAAGCTCTTGCGTCCAACAGTGTAGATCTCTACTTGAGAGAATTCAACATAAAGTGTCTTTTCAGTGGGTACCCTCCCACTGTGGTGCTGAGGGAAATACGAGAGTGAACTTTTTTGCAAAAAGGTTCGCTCTGCAGTTTAATTCAAAAATCCGATAAAAATTTGGCCTTTCATTCTTCAAAACTGGAGACTAAAAGAATCTTCACAGTCTTTTCACACAGTGGTGCATGCTCATTCTTCTTGTATTAACCCTTTGTGGCACATTGTGTTCGGTCTGGACACACCTAAAAATTTCTTCTGCTTTACGTAATTAGACTGCCTACCCTTTTTTTTTTCTTTTTCAAAACTCCGAGTTTAAACGGTAGTGTGCCGGAAAGATCCTGGAATGTCTTCAGCACTAATTCCCATCTTGTTCCGAATGCTCCTCATGCAGCTGCAGTGGCTACTTTTAGACTGTTGACTGAACACAAATGTCTCTGTGCCCATTTATTTTGTTTGAATATTATCCACTCTTCTGTGTGTATCATGCGTTTAACTGGACAAGATATAATCACTTTATTATAAATCTGTTTGAGTTCCCCCCTTCAACCTCTCTTTTATTTATTTATTTATTTATTTATTTATTTAATGGTACAACACCCAGGCAGCATGCATTCGTAAATTGCACGAGAAAAATATGTGCAATTTATGAATGGCCTTTCGTATAAAAAAACGTTCAAGTTAAACGTAAAAATATCATAAAAAGTGTCCAGTGGCAATTACTAAATATTTACGTATATTTTTACGTTATACTATACGTAACTTTTACGTAAAATTTAGGTATATTTACGCGAGAGACTGCTGTTCATTCGCAACTTTTACGTATAATATACGTAAATTTCAGGGATTTACGTATATATTTTATAGTAAAAATTTACGTATATTTATCACATATACGTAAATCTCGATTTTTTGCTTAACGTATGCGTATATATTTAGTAAAAATTTACGTAAATTTCCCCGATTTTTTACTGTATATAAACGTATATATTAGGTAAAAATTAAAGTAGATATTTCACATATTTTACGGTACAAAAACGTATATATTTGATAGAAATTAACGTATATATTTCCCATATTTTACGGTACAAAAACGTATATATTTGATAGTAATTGACCTAAATCTTCCCTATGTTTTCTTTGCATATGCGAAAAATTTAATCCGATGTCTTCTCCACTTTACTGTGTATAAATGCACATTTTTTGGTAAAAAATTTGCATAAATCTCCAGTTACCTTTTCACTACATTTTTCGTAAAATGTACTTATTTTAATCTCACATTTTTTATATAAAATTATGCAAAAACTTTCTGCATGCTATGATTAAAAGGTAAAATCATTTTTAAATCAAATTCTTACATATCTGCCTTTTAGTTATGTACAGCAATATGGAACATATATAACTGGAAAATTTAAATGCACTAGTAAATGCAAAAAAAAAATAAATTTCTATTCAAAAATTACATAACACTTAAAGGCTGAAAATCACTTTTAATATTTCATTTCAAAGTGACTACAAAATATGCAATAAATTTCGTAAACATCAATTCTATGTTTTAAATCAATTAATGCTATCGTTCATTTGCATTTTTGTTTACTAAATTCATTTCATAAATTTAAATTTGGGAAACATCTGCAGCAAACAGTTGTTTACTAAATTCATTTTTGCTAAATAACACTTTAAATAAATTATTTGCTTTTCCGAAGGACATTTTCTTATGCCATGTAAATGAACAATAGCATTAATTTATTTAAAACATAGAACTCAGGTTTACAAAATTTATGGCATATTTTGTAGACACTTAAAATGAATATTAAAAGTGATTTTCAGCCTTAAAGTGTTATGTAATTTTTGAATAGAAATTAATTTTTTTGCATTTAAATTTTCCAGTTATAAATATTCCATAGTGCTGTACATACCTAAAAGGTGGATATGTAAAAATTTGATATCAAATTAACATTTTATCTTTTAATCATAATATGCAGAACATTTTTGCATAGATTTATATGAAAAATACGAGATTAAAATAAGCACATTTTACGAAAAATGCAATAAATAGGTAATTGGAGATTTTGCAAATTTTTTACCAAAAATGTGCACTTATACACAGTAAAGAGAAGACATTGGACTAAATTTTTACCAAAGTCATTCGCATATGCAAAGAAAACATAGGGAAGGTTTAGGTCAATTATTATCAAATATATAAGTTTTTGTACCATAAAATATGGGAAATAGCTACGTTAATTTCTATCTAAAGTACAATATAGTTAATTTCCAAATTCAGTAAACGACTGTAGAGCAAAAGAAAACATCATAAGATTTAGATTATTTGAATGAGTGTGCTAAATTTTAAAATTGTTAAATATAAACCAGGAGGAATATTGTAGAAAACTTACCTTTTCCAATAGTTACGAAGTTTACTTTTTGCTTATTTTCCTTGAAGATGAATGTTTAATGTTACAAATATTGCATTCATATCTTCAGATAATACACAAATATATACATATTTATTTATTAAAATTTAGTTTATCCCAAAAATGTTAAAGAAAATATTAATTTGCATGTAAGTTAATCGAGTAACTTCTGTTTTAATTACACACATAATTATGATATGTAAAAATTTTACATTTATCAGTCAATCTTGCAATGTATTGTAGTCTATTATTGTTGTCTTAAAGTTAGTTTAAAATCTTATAAATATATTAGATCAGTACTAAAAGTTCACCTCTACAAAAGAAATGCTTTATTGAGGTATTTTTAAAAAGTTCCCTTTTACAATGTAACTGTTAATTTCATAAATAAGTTCATAAAATTATGCAAATTCAAAATTACATAAATATGTTCTTTATTTTATCTTATATACCAGATAAAATTTTAAAAAGTTAATTTGTTTAGGAATATTGAAGTTTTTAAATATTTACCTCATGTGACTTTTTCTATAACATCATTATAAATGTACATGTTGATGTGGACATACCAATTATTTTTTTTTCATCAAATAGCTTTATGGTATTAAATGATTTAAAAGGAGGCAACTGGACAAAAGAAAGCAATTAGAAGTTGGCTAATTTTTTATTAATTTGTTGTCAAATGCTGTGCATTTTAGATTATGGTCATATGATGACAATGAGTTATTTAAATTATAAAATTATTATGAACATATCCCACATAAATTAATAAGTGTCAAATTTCAAGTTGTTTGAAGTATTATGAACTGTAATACTTGCAAAAGAAATACACATGAAATTAATTTAAGAGTTAGGTTTATTTTACAGGTATTTGAAAACTGCAATTACTGTTATAAACAATAAAAACTAACATTAAATCTGAAGAGCATAACTTTTTTCAATAATAAAATTCAACATAAATTTCATTCAGCTTTGCCATATTTGTTCTATAGTTCGCTGTCTTTAATATCCTGCTCGATTTTTGTAAAAGTGAATTCTTTGTCACCCAATGTTTTGAGAACAGCTCCTAAACAAGAAAAAGAAAAATTTGTAATAATTTCACACTTCAGATGTTTTCAGTTTTTAAATATAGTTGAAGTATTAAAAAATGCATATAAAATGCACTGAGTATTTAATATTTAAAAATTTACATTTCAGTAATTAAAAATTTAAGTTCATACTACCACACAGTAAACTTCAATTATACACCTTACATAATGCCTATAATTTCAAGTAAAAAATACCTAAAGATTTGTTTAGAACTGCAAGGTTAAGAAAGTCTTTAATGGCTATGTTTGCATTTAAGTACACGAGAAAAAACTTAATTTTGTATTAATTATATTGCATTAGCCTTTTCAATTTTACTCCTACATATAGTAAAGAATATTCGCTTTCTTACAGAAAACTTTTTCTTAAATAAAGAGTAAGCAGAAGACTAATCACAACACTATATACATATAACAAAATACTTCATAAACATATGCATTAACAGGCTATTTTACACATTTCAATAAACCAGAAACCCATATACAACCAAAAGTATTATCTGTAAATTCCTCCAAAATCAGAACACAAATCTTTAATTATGATAACAATGGCATCTCAGTTTGCAATATAAAATATTTCAAGTCTACATTCATGTGCATTCTAAGCAAACAGAAAGCTGA